TCCTCTCTCCAGGAATCTCCTCACATCCCTATTGGAACAGTCTTCAGTGACTCCAGCTGTCATGCTATTGCCATCTCATTCCCTCTCAGGCGCCATCCATAAGCCTGCTTTGCTCATCCTTTCATTGTAGCCTATTTCTCACATTCAGAGCTCTGTATTTTCTTGCCTTGCAGGGGACAGAGAGCGCACAGTTCCAGGTGGGGCCAGGAACCATGTGAGACCCTCCAGGAATAGACACCATGGCTTCATTAGAAATGTTAAAATACATGGCTACTGGAGATAGAGAGATGAACATCATCAAGACACATAGTAGCAAATGAGAGATCACAGAGCCACATGGCATATAACATAGACTCATCTTAATGCACTGTCACCTATTTCTGAAATTTATTTCCGGCCGCCATTGCCTACATTGATTGAAAGAATTTTTAAAAAAAGATGGATTCATGATGGGGGTGAACGTGTTGTTCCAAGCTCTGATGCTGAGCCTTAGAGATTATCAATTAAGAAAGCTATTCAGGAGCTCTGGAGACAATGTGTGGTGTTCATGAGAGCCTTATAGATGGAGACTTGGCAGGGGAGATGTTGGGTTAGTCGTAATGTCATTTAGCTAATAACACAGAAGGCCAGACTTATGCTCTAGGGGATTGGGATCAAATCCCAATGCAGCAATAGCTGGTGGAATTTAAATTGAAGGAGTAAATCTAGGATATAAAAACTACTCTTAGCAATGGCGGCCATGGCAACTATCATTGATTGTGCTGAAAACCCATCTGGTTGACTAACATCCTAGAAAGAAGGAAATCTGCCATTCTAAACCAGGTTGACCAACCAGATCCACGCTGAAGGAGTTGACACTACCATCCTCTGAAATGGCCCAAGCAAACTGTGGTCAGGTGGCCAGCACAGAAATGGCTGGTTAAGAGTGATGACCAAGCATGCTGGGAATTTTGGTCAAGCTTGTTTAAAGTCTGACCTCGGTTAAACTGAAGCCAGGGCATGTTGTAAGGCGGGACCTGCAGTTTCCTGTATTGACCAAATAAGGCAGTGTTCACAGTAGTTGGCTAGACATTATTCACCATATTACCTTATATGGAGCTTGGAATGTGGCTGTTTATGACTTGGGATAAACATCTGGGAGTTGTTACCCAGTAAACTGCATTGGCTGGGATTGAACATTGTGATCAGGGTTTGGTCAATCCATTGGCTGAGTGCCATAGAAGTTTCTAGAGCGATGAGCACACTTTAGGATAAAAGGTACCAGCACAAGAGGTTTTGCAGGAGTGAGCCCTCGAGATCAACATTTGAGAAGCACGTATCCCGAAGTTATCTTCGGAGAAGTCAAAGAATCTTGAGGCGAGATCGACACCGAGAGTGAAATGCCACTCAAATTGGGTGGTGTTCACTTTAAGCCAAATTTATGGAGTTAAAGTTAGAGTTAGGGTTAAATGAGGGTTACGTTAAAGAAAGGTAAAGTGTCTTTCTTTAAATGGATTGAGTTAAAGTTGAAGTTAATTTAGATAAAATAAGAGGGAAATGTTGCAAAGAATGTATATCTTACATTGAGTATTGGTATCTAAAGAGTTAAATAAAGAAGGGTTTGTTTAATTAAAGTCTGAGGCAACTCCCTGTCTTTAGTCTGTCACACAGGGGAAGAACACTTGGGAGAAAGTTGAGTACTCCTTTTGGGTAACAAAACCACTTATTTCAAGGGCAATGAGGAACAGGCAGCAAATGACATTCACACCAGTGACACCCACTATCTGTGGAGGAATAAAGAATCAATCAAGGCCCTGCACAGCAATATAAAGGATTGGAGTAGTCTATCTCCACACGGGTGAAGCAGAAAGCACTCAGAGAGTTCACTACTGAAATAGCAACACCAATCCTTACCCCTTCCAGGTCTCAGTCTGAGCCACATTGGCTGCCTTCTCCCCCCTTGGTTGATTCTATCCTGGAAACATGCAGTGAGGCAGTTCTTGGAGTTTTCAGACCTCACAGGTTCCTAAACCGAAGCCACGTTCTTCAGCAGCACCTCGGCAATCAGAGCAAAGGGACGAGCAGACTGCCTACAGCTCAGAAACTGGGGTGGTACTAACTCCGAGTAAAAGGGGGAGAAAAACTTTCAGTGGGGAAATCACTAGGTTGTTTAAACAATCTGTCAAAATCATGAAAAGTGCTCGAGAACCATAAACGATATTTTGAGTCTCCTTTGTCAGCCATCTCCATTGTTGCCTCTGGCCTTTCAAGTGAGTAGCAGCCTTGAGTTAAATGATACAGTAGGAGGTGAAGGCAAACAGTGGGTGTCATTAACAGAGGGGGAATGCTATGGGTTGGGGCAGGAGTGTTGTGTTGGTGGGTCAGTGTGTCCATCATTAGTTCGTTACATACTGCCAAAGCTCAGGTGATCATGTGAGCTGTCTCTGGCTATTTCTGGCAGCTAGTTGTGAGGCTTGTAGGGATCCTGACAGTGTCCAGCTCTTCTTCCCCTTCATCCCAGAGGAGGTACTGCCGTTTTCACCTCTTTCCTCCTGCAGCTCCACTCCTCTCCGCTGTGCCATGTGGCACACGGCCATTACCATTCTACAGAGTCAGATCAGTGCATATGGCTGTGTGTCCCCAGCTCTGAGCAGACAGCTGAACTGTCTCTTCACCAAGCTGGTCTCTCACTCTATAGCTACTCTTGGGCTCATGCAGATACTGTTATACTTCACCTGTGTTGCAGTGGAAGGAAGTCAGGGAGGCAATGGCCTAGTGGTATTATCACTAGACTGTAAATCTAGAGACCTGGGTAATATTCCTGGGGCCTGGGTTCATAACTCACCATGGCAGGCGGAATTTGAATTCAACTTGATTTAAGAATCTAATAATGGAATCTCTACATTGCGGAAGCAGGCCATTTGACCCAACAAGTCCACACCAACCCTCTGAAGTGCATCCCAACAAGGCCCATGCCCCTGTGTGATGACCATGAATCAATTGTTGGGGAAAATCCCATCTGATTCGCTAATATCCTTTAGGAAAGGAAACTGCAGCCTTTATCTGGTCTGGCCTACACATGACTCCAGATCCACAGCAACATTGTTGACTCTTAACTGCCCTCTGGGCAATTAGGGATGGGCATTTAATGCTGGCCTAGTGAGTGATGCCCACATCCCATGAATGAATTTAAAAAAAAAACCATTAGTCCTATCTTGAGTATTTTTTAATTCCCGTTTAAGTGGCACTGAATCTTGCAGTTTCCTGGATATCTTGCACAGACGTATATGACAATATTCTGGTGGTTACGCACCAATTAGCATCAATGGGATGGAATTGCTTAATATGAATGAAATTCAGGGCAATCTAAGGGCTTCTTGATTGCCTTTTTGGTACAATAGTCTATGATTTCCCGGATTATGGGAATTCAGCCATTGCAGAAAATCTCACAGCCCTCTTGTTCTGGCCGAACTCAGCAGTTGGAAAGCAGAATGTAAGTGATGGCCTGGGCAAAGATACTACCAGTCATCTGGAAAAGGTGATATAAAAGCAAAATTCAGTGAATGCTGAAGACCCTAAACCAACACAGACAGTGCTGGAGAAATTCAGCAGGTCTGACAACATCTGTGGACAGAGAAACAGAGTTAACGTTTCAAGTCTAATATTGACTCTTCTGGAGAAGAGTCATTGGACTCAAAACATTAACTCCTTCTCTCTTCACAGATGCAGCCAGACCTGCTGAGTTTCTGTAGCACTTTTTGCTGTTATCTGGAAGATGCAGTTATGAGGAGAAAATTGCGAAATCCTGTAAATGGCACCAGACTACTGGTGGAAAGGATCAGAGGCAAAGAAATTCAGGGATGCGCTGATCTACCTAGCTGCTGAGAGTGTGTTGCCAATTCTATAGTGGTCTACACGATATCTTAATATAGGTCAAGGTGAGATGTGAGGTATAAGCTGCCAAAAGGCCTTCCTAGGCCAACATTGCTAAGTCAGAAAGCCGATCTTCTGTCACCCAGTTGGCAAATGTTTCTCACTTATATAGGGAAGCAGACGTCTTGGTTCACTATTTAAAGGTTTTGCATCTTGCAGGTCATTAATCCTCTTTTGCCCTTTAGTTGTGTTGACCCCAATGAGTTTCAGATAAAACCATCTGCTAGCAGATAAAGCCAGATGGCAGAAATTGAATTTACTTTTCCTTTTTGTACATTTAAATCACTAAACCAACCCCTCCCTCTCCCCCGCTGTCCCAGTGGGAGTTACACAGTATCTCAAAAGGTGAACAGGTCAGGTGTCAGGATCTTGACATTTTTATAGAGTCATAGAGTCATACAGCATGGAAACAGACCCTTCGGTCCAATTTGTCTGTGCTGACCAGGTTTCCTAAACTAAACTAGTCATGTTTGCTGGTGTTTGGCCCATATCCCTCTAAACCTTACCTATCCATGTACCTGTCCAAATGTCTTTTAAATGTTCTAATTGTACTTGTCTCGACCACTTCCTCTGAAGTTCATTCCATACACACATCATCTTCTGTGTGAAAAAGTTACCCCTCGGGTTCCTTTTAAATTTTTCCCCGCTCACTTTGAACCTATTCCCTCTAGTTTTGAACTCCCTTACCCTGGGGGAAAGACCTTGGCTATTCACACTACCTATGCCCCTCATGAATTTATAAACCTCCACAAGCTCTCCTTTGCAGGTTACAAGTTCCCCCCACCCCCCAGAAGTGTCTATCTGCATGTTCACTCAGCTTTATTTGCAATGGTTGAAGCCAAATTCTTTAACCAGCATCAATTTCTATAATATGTGTATGATTGAGAAAATCTAATAAAATAATTTTTAATGCTGAGGACGGTAACCCAGTAACTACACCGCAGTATCTATCACATAGCATTCACACTCAAGGACACTCCTCCAGAAATAGCTACATGTATAAATACTTCCAGCCTTTTATAGGAGAGGAACTGGCGAGATCAAGCAGCAATCGAAAAGCAGGACCAAACACCGTGTAAGACCGTCAGATTGACTTTGAATCTCATCTACTGCTGTGTTCTGCCTCAGACAGAGAAATCTCTGTGAACTACCTACCAAGATGTCGAAAGTCAAAAAGCCAGGTACAAAACATTCACAAGTTCTGTGAGCTAATAAAAACAAAATACTGCGGATGCTAGAAATCTGAAATAAAAGCCGAAAGTGCTAGAGAAACTCAGCAGGTCTGGCAGCATCTGTGCAGAGAGAAAGGGATTAAAGTTTTAAGTCTGGTATGACTCTTTGATCTGCAAAGAATTTACATACTGGACTCGAAACATTAACTTTATTTCTCTCCACTCATGTTGTCAGATCTGCTGAGTGTCTGCAGTACTTTCTGTTTTGTATCTGTGAGCTAGTGCACTACTGAATGATATTAAAAATGTTTGCATTGATCTGAACTAGTTTTCAGGCACATGGAAGGGAGTCTAATCTGTTGCTGTAATTATGTGTGGTCCAAGTCCATATATTGATCAGTTAGGTAGGAGAATTAAAACCAATGCATTCTGATTAAAATGCTTCTGTGGGCAGATTTGATTGGCATTAAGGAATATGACTAACATTTCATGTTATCTCTCAATACTAGTTTGACATCTTCATACACTTTCCCTTCCTTTGGGGAACTGTTGGAAATGTTAGTAGGCTGATTTTCAACTTGTCATTATCACGTCATAAGTATTCTTTCCATGGCCAAGAAACCCAGGAGTAGAGCTTGAATCTGGAGTTTCTTGTGCAGAGACAGGGTTCTACCTACTCAGACATTGTTGCTCAATAATTGATCCCTGTCGGAACAAAAATATATTTATCTTGTACTTTAAAGGATCACCATCTTTTTCCAGCTATGTATTATGTTGAAAAGTGGTTATAACTTCTGCAGAATGTGTTATGAGATAACGCTTCAATTTGGAGACACAGAATATGGCAAAAATATAATTATGCTGACAAAACATTGAGACCTAGAGCATTGAAAAGCACTGGTCATCATACTGAGTAATCCATGTGTGTAAGTATTTGTTCTATAGTCTGTCAGAAAGAATTGGTTTGTTTTTGGATGGGCCAGAGATCTATTGAGTATTAGATCTCAGACATGAAGGGATAAAAGGATGATGTAGTATATTGTTAAGATAGCTTAGTTGGTTAATGTGCCAGCCTCATAAACAGGAGATCCTGGGGTCAAATCCCAAAGGTGCCTGTGCTTTACACCCACCATTCCTCATTTGAACTTCTCTCAAATGCCATATTGTTAGGGGTGGCATGGTGGCTCAGTGGTTAGTGCTGCTGCCTCACAGCACCAGGAACCTGGGTTCAATTCCACCCTTGGGTGACTGTCTGCATGGAGTTTGCACCTTCTCCCTGTGTCTGTGTGGGTTTCCTCCCACAGTCCAAAGATATGCAGGCCATGTGGATTGGTGCTAAATCATCCTTGCCAGCTGTGTTCCTCCAGCTCCACACTATGTTGTCTATAGTAAAAGTTAACTTTTTTGACTCAACTTCAAGCACTAATCATTATGAATTTGTCACAGAAATTCCCTGAACCATCAATTTGTAACCTATCTAAATCTATGCAATGCTGTGCTTTCTGGACTCCATTGAATCTAAAAGTCCTTTCAATTTGTCTGGCCTACATTTTCCAACTCATATGCAGTGACCATGAAGCAAGCAAAAGGCAAGACTTTGGAAAGTCAATTTATATAGGAGCTAGGAACAGCCAGTCAGTCCATTAGGACAGGGTTATAGGGGGATGGGTCTGGATGGGATGCCCTGATGGTCGGTGTGGACTTGTTGGGTCGAAGGGCCTGTTTCCACACTGTAGGGATCCTATAATAAAATCAGCCATGATTTAGTTGAATGGTGGCACTGTCTTAATGGGCATTGGCAGTTCTTACTACCTCTAACTTCTGCTTTATGTGAATTAACAACTAAAGAGAGAGGACAGAAAGGAAGATTCATGTTCATTTTCAGAGTTGTTAGAAATAGTTCATAAGAAACGATTTGTAGGGGAGACCATGGTTATTGTTCCTTTTCAATAAAGTTATGCTTAGCCACTCCAATAGTGGACTTACAGAGGACACTGCAGACCGTTTCAGGGGAGCCAGCAGAAAGAGAGATGTAATTGAACCAGGATTCTTCAGGGAAAGTGTGAGCCTTGAAACTTTCCATGTTAGCTGGCATACCATCATCACTTCACTAGCACTGACAGAGACCAGAACTGGTTAAACACGGAAAACAGCAAATAATCCTAAAGGCTGCCCCAGTAGGTTGATTCACAGTGTCAGGCAGGATTCGTCTTATTTATGAATACTGACATTAGATTTAGGCAAATTATTTTTCACCAATGTTACAAATGATTAGTCTGTTCACTGCCAAGTGCAAAACGAATGGATGATGCTGGGGTCTTTATATCAAAACAGGAATAAAAGCTGAATTCTCCTGTTTCCATCTGCTTTCCAAGCCTGTCTGAATGTGGTTGTATGTTTTCTTTGTCCTAACTTGGAACAGCCCTGTTATTTATAAAGCCTTCCAACACTAGTGCTGATGATGTGGAGGTGCTGGTGTTGGACTGGAGTGGACAAGGTCAGAAATCACACAACACCAGGTTATAGTCCAACAGGTTTATTTGAAAACACAAGCTTTCGGAGCCTCGTTCCTTTTTCAGGCGTTAGTGAGAAAAGTAGTATCAGACACAGCATTTATAAGTAAAAGATCAAAGAGTCACACCACGATGAGGATGTATTAAACAAACCTAAGATGCTGTTAAATCTTCCATCTGTTAGAAGGTTTTAATTGGTTAATATGTACATGGAAATCCCCAAATTCTTTTCAAGTCACTGTCCTGAGAGAGCGAAAGATTTTATCAGTCATACTTAACGTGCATTGTCTGACCAAAAATGTCATCTCTTCTTTACACTGATGAAAGATTTAAAAGCATCTTGGGTTTGTTTAATACATCCTCATCAGTGGTGTGACCCTTTGATCTTTTACTTATAAATGCTGTGCCTGATACTACTTTTCTCACTAACGCCTGAAAAAGGAACGAGGCTCCAAAAGCTTGCGTTCTCAAATAAACCTGTTGGACTATAACCTAGTGTCGTGTGATTTCTAACATTAGAGCTGCCTTATGAAGACAAACTGCTCAAGACCACACAATTGTTTTATGATATCTAGTATATGTTTTTGACTGACAGGTTGTATTCATTCTTAAAATAAATTTTAAAAGCATTACAACTCTATACAAAAAATTTTATTTTCTGTTTAAAAGTTGTTCAATTTGATTCGCGATGGGAATGGTCCTATATCTCTAATTTTTAATGGCGATTCCTTGCTGCTAATAGTTTAATGTTCACCGATTAAATCTTCTTGTCATTTTAAGTAACTACCTGACAATCCTTTACAGAGTTTGATGAAGAAGCACGGATCTTGGCTGAAAAAGTCTTCGCCCATGATGCTAAAAATGAAGATGAAAGAGATGAGATCTCGCCATTCGATATGGCTGACAATTGCCCAATTGGACACCTTGAGATGCAACACCATTTAATTGACAGGAAAGCAAAGGAATCCACAAGCAAAAGGTTACAAAATGCAGAAATGGTGGTCAGAGAATAGAGTTTGTTCTGGAGACCAAAAAACAAAACTTTGGTTTTCCTGATTTAAAGATGTTACTTTGTACTCTGTGGAATCACTTGGACTGGAAGTAGAGAGTGCATTGGGATTTTATGCATGAAGAATTCTACCCAGTCTCCCAGCTGCTAGTCCAGGGTGATATATTAAAACATAGATGCCAACAGGGGAAATAAAATCTGATATGCAATAGGAATTTATTATCAACATTTGAAGCTATTGAATATTCTATCAAGTTCACATGACTATTTAATGTATTTATTTACTTTTTTATGATTCCCAATGGATGAAAGGAGAGACTTTGTTGGAGCATGTTACTGATGATCAGGGCAACTGCAAGAATACCAAGTTACAAATGATGACAACAGTTTATATTACAGGAGAAGAGGATACTGATTAGTTGGCAAATCTGATTAGCTGAGGCATTGCGATAAAGAAACCAATGAGAAACTATAGTCTTCCCGAGTTTCCGGGTAATTCAAAAAAGGTTCAAGACTTGAACATATTCCTTTTGCTTGCAGAGAATGGGTCCTTGCATATGAATTTATGTTTCTTCAAGTAAGAATATATTAGTCACATTGTGAGCTTGGCTGATTATCATCAATTGGTTCTTAATTATAGTTAAGTTATTATAGTTATTAATGCATTTAGATTTGTTTGATAATTTCTGCCCAATCTATGAATCTATTGAGCAATGAGTCAAGCAAACAGCTTCAAACCCTACTATACAGTGCGTATACTAGTGTTATTTTTCACAAGCACTTCACTGCCTTTACGTCCAAAAGGATCAAATAAGCGAGGCTATGGCCTGATGGTATTGTTGCTAGACTATTATTCTAGAAACTCAGCTAATGTTCTGGGGATATGGGTTCAAATCCTGCCACAGCAGATGGTGGAATTTGAATTCAGTAAATAATTTGGAATTAAGGATCTAAAGATGTCCATGAAATCATTGCTGAGCATTGGGAAAAACCCATCTGGTTCATTAATGCCCTTTAGGGTAGGAAACTGCCATCCTTACCTGGCCTACATGAGACTCCAGACCCACAACAATGTGGTTGACTACACACTGGGTGTTTAGGGATGGACAATGAAAACTGGCATGGCTAGAGATTCCCACATCTCATTAATGAATTTTTGAAAAAAGGATATTCTGTCTATCACACAATTGAGAAATGTTATTTATGAATTTCAATGTTGGTATGATGCCAAATATGTAGTCCATTAATGATTAGTTGATTGAATCAAACAGCATGTTTCTTGAGTCATTTGTTAGATGCAGAATGCAGTCCATGCTTGCAAAACCCAAAACAATGTGTCTAGTGTTTGGTGCAATTCTGTGATTGGGCAGTATTTGAATAACAATCCTGAGCATGCTTTTAGTTAAAACAATACCCAATTAAAGGTAATATTTTAAGCCTGTCATGTGGCTTATGTTCATTTACTGGAATCAGCATGCATTCATATGCAGGGACCCTTCCTCTAAATAAAAGAAAAACTTCCAGCCTCAGAGATAGCAGGAACTGCAGATGCTGGAGAATCTGAGATAACAAGGTGCAGAGCTGGATGAACACAGCAGGCCAAGCAGCATCAGAGGAGCAGGAAGGCTGACGTTTCGGGCCTAGGCCTGCTGTGTTCATCCAGCTCTGTACCTTGTTATCTCTTTTCTTCCAGCCTTGTGACTTTTTTGAATTAGCCAAGAGCTTAGGCAAACCCAGGGTCCCACTGCCTCCTACATAACAATGCTTCAGTCAGTCAACAACATGCCAATTACAATCTGTACCATTTTCTCTTGTCATATAAACAACCAAACTTCAAACAATCTTGGCATTCTTGCACTTGTGCTGATGAAGATGAGATGAAAAGCTCCCACTAATGAACAATATTAAAGTTCTGTAAAAGCCAACAACAAATTTCTTAATTAATAGTTTGTTTCTTCATCTTTCTACAGTGGGATTAGATTGAAAAAGTGAAATTGAAACAGCTGGGATGCTAGATGTTTACCTTGCAAGATGGCCCTTGATTTGAATGCTCGTACTCTATGGGTTTATCGATTAAATCTCACCTCCTTCTTTGTTTGCAGCTTAACCTTTTGAGAGTAGGGTGGAGCTGTGAATCACACATCATTAGTAGCCTCCTGTTGTTGGGCTCAATGTGTTTAGAAAGTGAAGGAGAAAGATCTTGCAATCCTTTTTACCTTCTCGGGGTGTCTGAAGTGGTTTCAGAGCCAATGAATATCTTTTAAAAATCAACCGCTGCGGTTCTGAAGACAAAATCGGAAGTAATTTGTGTACACCAGGTAACCCACATGGCAAATGAGATAAATGACCTAAGATAACAAGGTGTGGAGCTGGATGAACACAGCAGGCCAAGCAGCATCAGAGGAGCAGGAAAGCTGATGTTTCGGGCTAGACCCATCTTCAGAAAATTTTGCTGCTTTGCCTGCTATGTTCATCCAGCTCTACACCTTGTTATCTCAGATTCTCCACCATCTGCAGTTCCTACTATCTCTCAGATAAATGACCTGTTTGTTTCAGTGATGTTGGTTGAGGAATGCGTGTGTGCCATTAATTTCACCCCATTTCCCTTCAATAATTTGATCTGTGACTAATACTTGAATAGTAATGTGTTGAGCCATTACACTTCCATTTGATTGTTCAAAAGTAAATTGTTGTGGACCAGACTAGACCTCTCAAAATATATTAAGAAGGTAGCCTAGATCTTAAATTTTTCTTATTTCAAAATAACCAATGGGCCGAGGAGTGGCAGATGGAGTTTAATTTAGATAAAGGTGAGGTGCTGCATTTTGGAAAGGAAAATCACAGCAGGACTAATACACTTAATGGTAAGGTCCTGGGTAGTGTTGCTGAACAAAGGGACCTTGGGGTGCAGGTTCACAGTTCCTTGAAAGTGGAGTCACAGCTGAATAGGATAGTAAAGAAGACGTTTAGTATGCATGTCTCTATTGGTCAGTGCATGGTGTATAGGAGTTGAGAGGTCATGTTGTGGCTGTACAGGACATTGATTAGACTATTATTGGAATACTGCATGCAGTTCTGGTCTCCCTGTTATAGGAAAGATGTTGTGAAACTTGAAAGGGTTCCAAAAAGATTCACAAGGATGTTGCTGGTACTGAAGAGTTTGAGCTGTAGAAAGATGCCGAATATGCTGAGGCCATTTTCCCTGGAGTGTCAGAGACAGAGGGGTGATTATATAGAGGTTCATAAAAATATGAAGGGCATGGATAGGGTGAATAGCCAAGGTCATTTTTTCCCCGGGGTCGGGTACTAGCGGGAATAGGTTTAAGGTGAGAGGGGAAAGATTTAAAAGGGACATAAGGGGCAATTTTGTCACACAGAGGGTAAGCCTGTATGGATTGAGCTGCCAGAAGAAGTGGTGGAGGCTGGTACAATTACAACATTTAAAAGGCATCTGGATGGGTATATGAATAGGAAGGGTTTAGAGAGATATTGGCCAAATGCTGGCAAATAGGACTAGATTAATTTAAGATATCTGGTCAGCATGGATGAGTTGGACTTAACAGTCTATTTCCGTACTGTACAACTCTATCACCCTAAATGCGAGGTGATATGTTCCAGATGAAATTCAATTGGTCAAACTACACATTAGGCAAAACACAATTTATTCAAACAGTTTAGTTAAAATACAACAACAGAAAGAGGAGCTTGGAATAATTTAACTCTGTTGGAAAACTTAACAGAATAATAGATACAATAACTATTACTTATTAACTGTTCCAATATAGTAACATCCCATAAACACACCCCTTGGCAAAAAGGCAGATTCAGAAATCAGATTTTCACACATGCAGCATCTGCAGTAGGAAGAGAAACCCCAGCTTCTAGCTGTAAGTGAGAGAGGGGGAAAAAAAGCTTCTACTTCTTCAAAACTCCAGCAGCTTCTGCTAAATCTAAAAACTAAAAAAAACTAGAAATCCTGGTTTGTGAGAGCTGGCCACTCCCAGCCAGGCTGCTTCTAATGTTCCAAATTTAAGAAAAAGCCCAAGGCCTCTCAAGCTGTTTACTTTACTGAGATAGCAAAAACTGCAGATGCTGGAGTCAGAGATAACACAGTGTGGAGCTGGAGGAACACACCAGGCCAGGCAGCATCAGAGGAGCAGGAAAGCTGATGTTTCAGGTCGGGAGAAGAAGGGTCCCTTCTGCTGTGTTCCTCCAGCTCCAAATTTTGTTATCTGTTTATAATACTGCTAGTTACCCCTTGGTGTTCAATCTCTCCCTTAAAAGAAGCCAGGACAAAATACACCCATTAAAGCCACAACATTGTCACAAACTAAGATTGAAATTGAGATTAAGTTCCAAACAGCTAGTACCTTTCTCAAGATAGCCTTCTTGATTTCTAAGACTACATAGATTATTGTCAGAACATGACTACCAAGTTAAATTCTGTTTTTGCTTGAGACCCATTTTCCAGCAGAGGTGACTGGGCAGAGGCCTACGACCCACTGATGAGAGCAATGAACCTAACTATAATGACCTGCCTGGATCCTCATTGATTTCAGCGCTTAACATTCAGGAATACATGTACCTTAGCTCAATACAATAGCAGGCAGTGAGTGAATGTACTAATTAAGCCATTTCCAGGAAAGGTCTTTTGGTAGAGCAGTTTCTGGTGGCGGTAATGTGTTTCAAAACCAAGTTTCAATCTTTGTTCTAATTAACATTTGTACAACTCTTGGATTGTGTCTTCCTGTTAGGTTGAAAATCATCATGAAAGCAAAGTCAATCACTGTACCAATTCCGGTTCTTGAGGACCCTGCAGTTACACAGCCCAAAGAATCAGCTGATCAGATGGGGCTGCCTTCGTACACAGATGTGCCAGAATTTCAGAGAGTCGTCATTTCTGGAGACTACGCATCAGGGGTAAGGTTAACCCTGCCTCATTGAATGGGGCTTTGACGTATTGTCGTACCCTTGCTATTATAGAGAGGAGAATCTCTGTGACCCAGGATGTAAAATGGGCAGGACTGGGCAATGCAGGGAAGAATGGCTCAGGAAACCTCAGCAAGTTGATGGTAGAGGAAGGATGTTTAAATGCAAGGAGAGAACCAGAGGAATATTAGAGAGAAAAATGTTGAAATTTGCACTGATGAAGTCATACAAATAGGCAGTACTAGATTGGGCAGCGTCTGGTCATCATTTCCATTCACTGGAACTGCTTTGAGTAAAATTCACCATGAAGCTGTCAGACTGTACTAAATTCCCCCGTAACTAGTGCAAAAACTGCGTCATTCATATAAACAAAATCTTCTATACTTTTTCCAATCAACCTGTTGAGTTTTGGTATTGCACACCTCTGGAGTAAGTAGGACTTGAACCCAAGCCTCCTGTCCCAAAGTTACAGATAATTCCCCTTACCCACATCTTCAATGTGCACCCAGTTGTGCCTGTATGTGACTCCAGTCCCACATCGCTCCTAACTGCCCTCTGAAATAGTCTCAGTTAAAAATTACAGATTTTTCTTATTATTGAATTCGAGTTTCACTAGAGTGGAGTTTAAATGCATCACCCAAGGCACTAATGACATTACCACTACACTACCAGATGTTGTCTAATTGCAGCAGCTGAGAGAACTAATACAAAATACTTGGCCTCATTCTCACAAATTTGCTTGTTGAAGATGCATCTTTCCTTAAGAGAATTGGCAGAGGTAACCAATACAGACTCCTTGTGGAATCCATGTCCTGGTTTAACATGGAAGACACCCTCCATTATTGTGAATGGCCCCATCGTTGTTCTAAATACAATATATCAAGAGATACAACAGTGCAAAGCTGTGTATTCTTGAGGTACTATGGGCCATCAACACCAGCAGAAATGTATTCCTTAATAATCTGTAACTTCATTTCCTGGTTTATCCCTTCATCACCAACAAATAAGGTGACCAACCCTAGCATGATGAGGAAATGTAGAAAAGATCGCCAGGAACAGCACCAGATAAAACTGAGAATGAGAGCAGGCAAAGAGAAGCTGGAGGTTAATGTGGTGAAGGACAGAAAATGGTCTCATAGACAGTTTAGTGATAAACTAAAATAAAATGCTGGAAATATTCGGCATCTGTAGAGAGAGAAATGGCATTAGTGTTACATATCTATGACCTTTCATCTGAACAAAACATTAACAACAGAAATTGCTAGAAAAGCACCACAGATCTGGCAGCATTTGTGGAGAGAAATCAGAGTTAATGTTTCGGGTCCAGTGACCCTTCCTCAGAACGGTTGAGAGGAAAGGTCATTCAACTTGAAACATTAACTCTGATTTCTCTCCACAAATGCTACCAGACCTGCTGAGCTTTTTCAGCAACTTCTATTTTGTCTCTGATTTAGTTCTTTCGGTTTTTATTTAGCTAAACCATTAACCAGCCTTCTCAGAGGTAAAGCAATGTATGACAAAAGTAAAGTTTATTTCAGGTTTGACTAGAATTATCTAAAATTTACAGTACAGAAACAAATTATTCAATCTAAATAATTTCTGGTCCTGAATGACATTTCTAGACTTCAGGCGTAGTGTCACGCTCTACTCCATCTCATCCTATCAACATACCCTCTATTCCTTTCTGACCCCAGTACTTGGTTGGCTTTACCTCTCCTGTAACCAGATGATTGCATGTGGTGAACAACTTAACGGACTGGCAAACTTTAATACTGCAGTAACAAAGAGAAAGTTGCTGGAAAAGCTCAGCAGGTCTGGCAGCATCTATGAAGACAAAATCAGAGTTAATGTTTCGGGTCTGGTGACTCTTCCTCAGAACTGCAGTGTTAAACCAGAACATTTACATCTAGAGGCACAAATATTTTGTGAATCAGTTATTCTTTTGCATTTGTTCAGCAGCAGCCTAATCTATCCCTTTGGCAGAGATGTTAAAACTCTCACTAGATTTGGCATATCTTGATCTTTCACAGACATCAATTCCATTCAGAGGGATGTGAAACAGTGGCTAGCAGTTGGGATTTGGATTATCGCCTGCTTAAAGGGAGCTGTGAGTCACTGTGTTAACTCAGCTGCCTGGAAACTTGTTCGGGTCAGAAATCATACGACACTAGGTTTGCAAAGCGATATGGGTTTAATTCCTGCTCTGACTGAGTAGTAGCCTGCCTCCTCAACCTTGTTCCGCGGCTGAGGTGTGATGACGCTCGGGTTAAACTCATCATCAGTTGTCTCTCTCTAATGGGGGGACTGTTTTGCAGGACAGTTACTGACTTTGATAACAGTTGAGCTTTTTATACTGGATTCTTGGGAGAGTCGTGTCTGTTCCATGTGAAGATATCAGCGCGAGTCAGGGTTCACTCTGTAATAGAATCTTGCTAAGGTCTGCCACCTATTTTAAGTCCACAGCTGAAGCAGTTGGCTCTCCTTTATTAGGTGCCTCTGTCAGCTGAGGATGTTTTCATGTCTATGTACTCCTGGATCATGACACTAAATAATGCTTTCTCAACCTGACATTGAACTCACATCCAACCGAGGCATGGTTTTAACAGGTAACAGTTAAAATAATTAACAAAATGCTAACTGATTGATAGAAAACAAGAGCAAATGATGTCAAATCCATTACAATTTAACCAAGCATAATTAGATACCACACATTCTCAGGCATTGCTACATCCTAAAGTCACTTAATCTATGTGCACATTTTAAATATTCATGACCTATTAATAACCATTCATTGCAAAATGCAAAATACTGCAGAGGCTTGCAATGGTGGCATGGTGGCTCAGTGGTTAGCGCTGCTGCCTCATAGTGCCAGGGACACTGGTTCAAGTCCACCCTGTCTGCATGGAGATTGCACATTCTCTCCATATCTGTGTGGGTTTGCTCCCGGTGCTCTGGTTTTCCCACGCAGTCCAAAGATGTGCAGTCTATGTGGATTAGTCATGGGAAATGCAGGGTTATGGAGATTGGGTGCGATGCTCTTCAGAGGTTTGGTGGGGACTGAATGGCCTGCTTCCACACTGTATAGATTCTATGATGATCTGAAATAAGAACAGGAAAAAGCTCATTGGGTCAGGCAGCATCTGTGGAAAGAAACAGTTAATATCTCAGGCTAATGAATGTTTGATGACTGATGAGCCCTGATGAAAGGCTATTAATGTGAAATGGTAGCTGTTTCTCTCCATCAATACTGCCTGACCTACAGAGTTTCTTTTGATTATCTTTTTTATTGCTCTTAATCCATCAAAATTGTGATGTACTAAAGATAATGAATGATCAAATACATATCATTCTAAATAATGTAATGAGGAATTTAGCAGGGTAATTGAATGATCAAACAATTTGAGTTAAGCAGCTTTAAAAATAATCTACTCAGAAATTGAATTTTCTTTTTATGTATTTGAGTTTTAGAACATTCAGGAAGGAAGCAGTCTGGTTTGTCTGATATCCTCACACACAGTTGTTCCAGTTTAGGGAACAGTGGGGAAATGCTGGAAGAATTATCCAGGTGATTATCAGTCTGTTGAACCATATCATAAACATTCCTTTCTTGGTCAGTAAGTTTCTGAGTGGGGATTGAACCCACTTCAGGCTCAGAGAAAGAGGTACTACTGACTGATCAGTAAAGACTCAAAAACACAGCAGTATTTCTCTTTTACAATTAGCAACAAGGATTTTTTAAAATTTACTCATGTGATATGGGCTTTACTGGTGGCACCAGCATTTATTGCCCCATCCTTATTTGCACTTGAGAAGGTGGCAGTGTGCTGCCTTCTTGAACCACTTCCTGTAGATAGACCCACAAAGCCCTCATGGAGGGAATTCCAGGATTTTGACCCAGCGACACTGAAGGAATGGCGATATATTTCCAAGTTAGGATGGTGAGTGGCTTGGAAGGGAACTTGCTGGGGGTGGTGTTCCATTTCTCTGGTGACTTGTCCTGGTCATGAAATGGTCATGGGTTTGGAAGATGCTATCTAAGGACCTTTAGTGAATTTCTGCAGGGCATCTTGTACATGGTACATGCTGCTGCTACTAAACATCGGTGGTGGAGGGAGGGAATGTTTGTGGAGCCTGTCAAATTTCTTGTATGTTGTTGGAGCTGCACCCATCCAGGGAATCGAGCATTATTCCATCATATTCCTGACTTGTGGCTTATCAATGGTGAATGGTCTTTGGGAGGCAAGTTACTCTGACCTGCCTTTGCAGGGACAGTACTTATATGACTGGTCCAGTGAATGTCAAGGGGTGGTTAGATTCTCTATAATTGGAAACGGTCATTGCCTGGCATCTGTGTATCACAAATGTTACTTGCCACTTGTCAGACCAAGGTATTTGACCAGGTCTTGCTGCATTTGGACATAGACTGCTTCAGTGTTGGAGCCATAAATAGTGCTGAATATTGTGCAATCGTTGGTGAACATCCCCACTTCTGAACATATGATGGGAGGAAGGTCATTGATGAAGCAGCTGAAGACGGTTGGATCTAGTGAGAGTGTAGCATCAAGAAGCCCTGGCAAAACAGGAGTCATCGGGAATGAAGGGGAAAGCTCACAGCTGGTTGGAGTCATACCTGACAGATAGGGAGATGGTTGTGGTTGTTGGAGGTCAGTCATCTCAGCTCCAGGACATCTCTGCAGGAGTTCCTCAGGACAGTGTCCTAGGACCAACCATCTTCAACTGCTTCATCAATGACCTTCCCTCCATCATAAGGACACAAGTGGGGATGTTCGCCAATGATAGCATAATGTTCAGCACCATTCGTGACTACCCAGATACTGAAGCAGTCCGTGTTCAATACAAGATCTGGATAATATCCAGGCTTGGGATGACAAGTACCAAGTAACATTTGTGCCCCACAAGTGCCAGGCAATGACCATCTCAAATAAGAGAAGATTTAACCACCACACATTTGACTTTCAATTGTGTTACCATCATTCAATACCCTATTATTAATTTCTTGGGGGTTACCGTTGACCAGAAACTCATTTATAAATGCAGTCACTACAAGAGCAGGTCAGAGGCAGGGAATACTGTAACGAGTAACTCACCTCCTGACTCGCCAAAGCCTGTCCACCATCGACAAGGCACAATTCAGCAGTGTGATGGAAAACTCCCCACTTGCCTGGATGAGTGCAGCTTCAACAACACTCAAGAAGCTTGACACCGCCCAGGACAAAGCAGCCCGCTTGATTGGCATTACATCTACAAGTATTCACTCCCTCCACTACCAACACTCAGTAGTTGCAATGTGTACTATCTACAAGATGCACTACAGAAATTCACCAAAAATCCTTAGACAGCACCTTCCAAACACACGACCACTTCCATCTACATGGAATAGGGCAACAGATACAAGGGAGCGCCACCACCTGCAAGTTCTCCTCCAAACCACTCACCATCCTGACTCGGAAATGTATCACTGTCCTTCACTGTGACTGGGTCACAATCCTGGAATTCCCTCCCTAAGGGCAATGTGGGCCTACCTACAGCACATGGACTGCAGCGGTTCAAGGAGGCAGCTCACCACCACCTTCCCAAGGGCAACTAGGGACAGGCAATAAATGCTGACCAGTCCGAGATGCCCACTTCCCTGAGTGAATAAATGAAAACACCTGACTTCAGCCGAGTCTAAAGGGAATAAAAAGTTAAACTAATTTAAATGATTGAATTTACTAATCAATGAAAGTTACAATGATCCAGGTAGTGCCATAAACATAATATAATTGAAGTAGCCAGAGCGGATAATGATAGCATCCGAAGCAACCCAAATAAATACAAAGAAACTTTGGTGAATACACGCATAATCATGATGCAATACCAGTGTCAATTGGCTGATACCTCATAGACTAGGAATATACAGTATAGAATGTGGTTGTTCAGCATATCATGCCTGTTCTGAGGAAGGGTCACCGGACCCGAAACGTTAACTCTGTTTTCTCCTCCACAGATGCTGCCAGACCTGCTGAGCTTTTCCAGCAACTTTGTTTTTGTTCCTGATTTACAGCATCTTTTGGTTTTTATGCCTGTTCCAACTATTTGAAAGAGCTGTCATTAGAACCTTCCTCTACAGGTATTATAGAATCTGACAGTGCAGATGGAGGCCATTTAGCCATCAAGCCTATACTAACCCACCACACAGCATCCACCCCATCCACATTTGCCGTGGCCAAAGCCACTACAGGGAATTTAGCACGGCCAATCCACCTAACCTGCACATCTTTGGACTGTGAGAGGAAACCGGAGCACCCGGAGGGAACCCATGCAGGGAGAACATACAAACTCAACACAGACAGTCACTCGAGGCTGGAATCGAACCTGGATCACTGGCACTTTGAGGCTGCAGTGCTAACCACTGAGCCACCATGCCATCCTAAAATATCTTCTTTATCAATTATTTATCCAATTCCTTTTGAAATTTACTCCTGAAGCTGCTTTCACCAACTTTTCAGGCAGTGCATTGAAGATCATAATAACTCAGCAGTTGAAAAACTGTCATTTTCTTTTTCGTTCACTCACCAGTTAACTGAAACTTTTGTTTGATTCCTGCTGCATTGACAAGAGTTGCTCCCCTCTCATAATTTTGAAAAATCACCATCAAATCTCCCGTTACCCTTCTGTCCTTGATGGGGAGCAATCTCCTCTTTAGTCTTTCAGGTGGCGTATGGCATGCTTGCCTTTATTGGTCGGGGAATTGAGTACAAGAGTCAGGATGTCATGTTGCAGCTTTATAAGACTTTAGTTAGGCCACACTTAGGGTATTGTGTCCAGTTCTGATCACCATATTACAGGAAGGATGTGGAGGCTTTGGAGAGGGGATGAGCTATAAGCAGAGGCTAGAAAAACTCGGGTTGTTTTCTCTGGAACAGCAGAGGCTGAAGGGAGACTTGATAGAAGTCTATAAAATTATAGGATGCATAGATAGGTTTGTCAATCAGAATCTTTTTCCTAAGAGTTGAAATGTCTAATACTAGGGGGTATGCATTTAAAGTGAGGGGGGGAAGTTCAAAAGAGATGCAATGGGCAAGTTTTTACACAGAGAGTGGTAGGAGTCTGGAACGTGCTGCCAGGCGTTGGTGGTGGAGACAGTCATGATAGGGGTGTTTAAGGGGCTTTTATATAAGCTCATGAATATGCAAGGAATGGAGGGATATGGACCAGGGGCAGGCAGAAATGACTAGTTTAATTTGGTGTCTTGTTCAACACAGCATCGTGGGCCGAAGGGCCCGTTCCTGTGCTGTACTGTTCCATGTTCTAAAACTGAAGTGCTCCCCCACAATCCCAGTACATCCCAGCAACTCGCACTTACATCTGCTTCAAGGGTTTTGAGATGTTTGGGTGACTTATTGCAGCCAGTTACTCCCAGCCTTGAAGGTGATAACTCATCTTGAGACTTGTCCACTTGTACAGCCAATGTCTTTGATCCCTGCTAAATGAAAACCACAAGAACTGCACACGCTGTAAATTAGAAACAAAAACAGAAATTGCTGGAAGATCGCTGCAGTTCTGGCGGCATCTGTGGAGAGAAATCAGAGTTAAGTTTCTGGTCGGGTGATCCTTCCCCAATTCAGGGTATAAAACAATCGGAGAAGTTTAGGAACTGTGGGACACTCCGAACCCATTGTGAGTTTGATTATTTACCGTTTATGAACAGGTAACCGTGGAAGATTTTGAACTTGCCTGCAAGGGCCTGTATCAAGCTTTGACCATTCGGGAGAAATACATGCGGCTATCATTTCAACGATTCTGCAGGACCACTGCACGCTTCCTGCGGAACATGGAAAATGAGCAATGGAAAGAGGAGAATGAAGTGCACCCAAGTAAGGACAAGAACATGGTGGGAAAGATTGTCAGCACATCTCACTCACTCAGACTGGTTGTCCTATTTCAGAGTCTGATCCAACCATTTTCATTGTATCTCTCTGACAAAGTCAAATGTTGCACTGGTCTCAGATCACACAAATAGATCTATTTGCTTTCATAGAAACATAGAAAATAAGAGCAGGAGTAGGCCATTCAGCCCTTTGAGCCTGCACCACCATTCAATATGATCATGGTTGATCATGCAATCTCAGTATCCCATTCCCACTTTCTCTTCACACCCGTTCATTCCTTTAGCTGCAAGGGCCACGTCCAGCTGCCTGTTGAATATATCTAATGAACTGGCCCCAACAGCTTCCTATAGGAGAGAATTCCACCGGTTCACAGCTCTCTGAGTGAAGGAATTCTTCCTCATCTCAGTCCTGATTGGCTTACTCCTTATTCTTAGACTGTGACCCCTAGTTCTGGACTTCCCCAACATCGGGAACATTCTTCCTGCATCTAGCCTGTCCAGCCCCATCAGGATTTTATATGTTTCTTTGAGACTCCCACCCTCATTCTTCTAAATTCTGGTCAGTTCAAGCCCAGTCTATCCAGTCTTTCTTCATATGTCAGCCCTGCCATCCTGGGAATCAGTCTGGTGAACCTTTGCTGGACTCCCTCAATAGCAAGAATGTCCTTCCTCAGACTAGGAGACCAAAATTGCACACAGCCTCACCAATGCCCTGTACAACTTCAGTAAGATATCCCTACTCCTTGCGCTCTAATCCTCTTGCTATGAAGGCCAGCATGCCATTGGCTTTCCTCAGTGCCTTCTGCATGCCAACCTTCAGCAACTGTTCCAGCATGACACCCATTGATACTATCAGTAATGGTTCACTACATTCTTAAACTACAAAACCTGATTGAATGGCAGCACAAAGCAGTGAGAGAGAGTATGAGATTATCAAGAAACAGTGATTGGGTGTCAGCATAAGCTTCCAAATTGGAAGGTAAGGATGGTTGAGGAAGATGAGGGATTGTTTTACACACTTTTGACAATCTGGAAAGAACTGGCTTATTTAGATAGCCTTCTGCAAATAGAAAGGAATGGTTTATTGAATGTTCATTATAAATTGGTGCTTTTTATGTAAGTTAAGTCAGTTATAGGGCCATTACTGCATAAACTGGGGATATTTGGTCCACATAGTCAGTGTCAGCTTTCTGCAGATTAATTCAGCCAGTCTGACTCTTGCCCCCTCATTCCCATCCCAATATCCCGGTAAGTTTCTTTCCCATGTATCTGTCCAATTATCTTTTGCAATAGTTGACCATCTCTGATTCAACCACCCACATGGGCAGCAAGTTCTAATTCATTTCCACATCCTTGGAATTATTCTGGTAAATCTCGTCCTTGCCCCCTCACATCCTACCTAAAATGTGGTGAACAGAACTGGATGCAATGCTCAGATTGAGGCCTAACCAGAGCTTTATAAAGATTGAGCAGATCTTCCCTTTATTTGCACTCATTATGTCTATTTATGAAGTACAGGATATTTTGCTAAAAAAAGTTTTGATATGCCCTGCCATCTTAAAAGATCTATGGAAATGAACAGCCAAGTGTCTGGAACAAAAACAGTTGCTGGAAAAGCTCAGCAGGTCTGGCAGCATTTGTGGAGGAGAAAACAGAGTTAACGTTTCGGGTCTGATGTCCCTTCCTTAGAACCCGTTCTGAGGAAGGGTCACCGGACCCGAAACGTTAACTCTGTTTACTCCTCCACAGATGCTGCCAGACCTGCTGAGCTTTTCCAGCAACTTTGTTTTTCAGCCAAGTATCTGGGATCATTTGCACACTTTAGAAGTGCTTTAGTAACTCTTGAGAAAATCTTTAGTTTAGATAGCCTTTCTCTAACACTTCTGCCAAAATGTGTCACCTCACACTGCTCTGTATTAAATTCAGTCTGCCGCTTGCCTGCCTAGTCTGGTAACCTATCCGTATGTGAGGATCATTAACAGTACCAAATATAACTGGCAGGCTAGAGTAAAGCCAACAACTGGGAGCGTGGAGTTCAATTAAGAAAGGATTTACTTCAGTGAAACTAATGAAAATGTATTATGTCGTAGCTGGAATTCTACAGGGAGCTGTATATCAACGATTCTCTAGCGATGAGCCATGTCTTCTTGCTTTGCTATGATGGTTCTGTCCATTATACTTCCTTCCATGTATTGATGCCTTCACTAAATTATGAACCTCGATTGTACACTTCATTGAACTCTTTTCCAACAATTAGATCAGCCATGAACTTATTGGAAGGCAGAGCAAGTTATGAGGCCAAATGGCCTGTTCCTTTTGTAAATTGTATGTTCATATGTTTGTTCATGTAGAAATGTTCTTTAATCTCTCTTATTCACATGGTGATCTAATTCACTGCCTTTCTCTTATCTCAAATCAAACTGTTGCCTTTGTTTGTAACTGTGGTGGCTGCTATTAATTGACATTTATTTAACGGGATTGGAAATGCAGTGCCTGTGTATCAGGGCACTTGCAGGAATGTGTGTGTTCCTACTGAATTCTGTTATATCATAGTTCTTCAGCTGAAATTGTTTGTAGGTAGAACATACCCGTATACCATCGGTCTTTCAGATTATCCAATGTCAATGTCCTTTCATCTCTGCTTTTACTGTCATATGGCTTTCACTCAATAAAAGGGTTAACTAGGCAACAAGAACAAAGAACAAAGAACATTACAGCGTAGGAACAGGCCATTCGGCCCTCCAAACCTGTGACGCACTTTGCCCTTCACTTACAGGATTCGTATCCCTCTATTCCCTTCCAATTCATGTATTCGTCCAGGTGCTTCTTGAAAGCTGATATTGTGTCTGCTTCCACCACCCATTCTGGCAGCGTGTTCCAGGCACTCACCACTCTTTGTGTGAAAAACTTGCCTCGCACATCTCTTTTAAACTTAGTCCCCCCACCGCGCACCTTGAACCTGTGTCCCCTGGTAATTGACCCCTCCACCCTGGGAGAAAGCCTCATACTTTCCACTCTATCCAGGCCATTCACAATCATATAAACTTCCTATCAGGTCAGTCCTCAAACTCCTGTGTTCCAGTGGAAGTAAGCCCAGTCTATCCAACTTTTTCTCATAGCTAAAATCCTCCGTAGCATCCTGGTAAACCATTTCTGTACCGTCTCCAAAGCATCCACATCCTTCTGGTAGTGACCAGAACTGTATGCAATAACTGATTAAATGTGGAAAGTAATAGAGGGAATTAAGCTAGATTCTTGGACATTTCTATATTAGGATTGGAGCTTAGGGCAGGAGGTCATATCTAGGAATCTAGCAATTGGAAAAGAATTTAGCAGAAGGGCAAAGCCAAGGCTGTCTCTGTATTGACTGCTATGGAAATACTTGTTCTGGGCATGACTTAAAATGTTACTCATCAAATCACTGGTCTTTCTTCAACCCAGCTCGCTGTCTTTCTCAATCAGTTTTTCCCACGTTACATATAAGTCAATGCTGATTAACCATCTTCTCCATATCCATTCACATGAACCATTTTCTGTTTAGAAGCTGATTTATAACCAGATACAAACCCTCCCCATTTATCTGGACTGGCAATGGAACCAATACAGGCTGGTATGCCTGTCATTTTGTGATGGGTTCTTCCTCGCCCATAAAATCCCTATATTGTGGTAGCAGGCCATTCAGCCCATTGAGTCTACACTGAAGAGAATCTCACCCTGACCCACCCACCTACCCAGTCCCTGTAACCCTGCATTTCCCATGGCTAATCCATCCAGCCTGCACATCTTTGGACAGTGGGAGAATGTGCTAACTCCACACAGACAATCACCCGAGGGTAGAACCAACCTGAATCCCTGGTATTGTGAGGCAGCGGTGCTAACCACTGGGCTACCATGTCACCCTGTTGTGCCTGCCACGCAGTGTGTTTTAAACCTTCAATCCAGCAAAGAAACTACGAGTCGACTCTTAATGGTAATAAGAAATTATCTTTATCTACTTCACCACAATACTATCATAACAAAATACACTGCAAACTAACAATTAACACTACAAATCTAATTAACTATCTTATACTTTAACTTAACTTTGAATGATCATATACCACCTCACTAGATCTTGGCCTTGATTCGCATGGCGATGATCATTTGATCCTTCTTCTCCCGGTGATCCCAGGGTCGTCTCCTCTTCATAGTTGCTGGTCTCGAGTTATCGTTCCCGAGGGTGGTGTTACAACGATTCTTATACCTGGAAGCTTTTGCATCCTTTTGGGAGGGTTTTTGATTCCTTCCAATGGATCGATCAGGGCTCGATCACCCTGACCGATCAGACCCAATCAGGCGTTGATGTGTTGATGGTGGGGTGGTCCTTGGGCCTCCATTCCTGAAGGTGTTGGGGGAATGTAGGACAGGCAGCTTTTCCCGAAAATGGGTGTGAGGTACTACTTTGTTCTGGAAAACAACTCAATGTCTCCTATTGTCCCAGGGATGGGCTGGGTCAATTGTATATTGTGCTGTCTGCAGCTGCATCCTGTCTGGATCTGTAGCTTCAGAGATAGCAGGAACTGCCGATGCTGGAGAATCTGAGATAACAAGGTGTAGAGCTGGATGAACACAGCAGGCCAAGCAGCATCAGAGGAACAGGAAGGCTGACGTTTCGGGCCTAG